GTCTTAGTTATTTTTAAGTGTTTAGCACAGTGTGTAATTTGTAGCCCGTGTCTGTATGTTGCTCAGCAGCCCGCCTGAGCTCCCCAGCTCGGGAACACGGGAACGAACCCTGAAGCAACTTTGCCGGTGTTGGTTAAAAAAAGAAATTCACATTTTTGTTTACGTTTGAAACGAAAAAACTTCTTCCCTATCCCACCCTGCAAATGATTACTCTGCCTGTACTAAAAGCTCAATGTTTCAGTGAGATTTATTCTGCATTAAAATGGTGAATTTCTGTGTCTTAGTTTTTGTTCTAGACAAGTGTTTGTAGAGTACCCAATTTGTCCTATTTTTAGATTGTTGCATACTTATAAACAGAAGATGTAAAAAAGAGCCTCGACAGATCTCTCCAGAATCTGTGTTAAAAATCGAATATATATTATATCATGTCTGTTACCATGAGAAATTTGAAATCTGTGCACTGTGCAGGTAGTAAAACTCAAATTGTAAGAGAAGAAAGATGCTCTCATGCATATTTTGACAAAATACACTCAGCGTTGGTTTTTGTTTTTCCATTAAATAAGAGAAAGGTACTCTGGGCTTGTTCGTGAATTATGCTGTGTCTGGAAAAGTCTAGTGCTAATTCAGTGTCACTAGAAAGCTGGAAATTATTCTGAAGACCCATTTATATATCTCCATCAATGTATCGTTCATGTTCCAAAAGCTCGACGCTGTTTGTCGAGCCTTTTTTTTAACGTTAATTTTTTTCATTCACACTTTTCTAGAAAATTTTACAATTTGCATCACCGACTTCAGCACGTCCACTTTTACGAAATAACCAGACAGGTCACAATGTCAGTTCTTTTTTGAGTCTCAAGAGCAGAAATGCATGCTTTGGATGCTTTAAATGATAATTACCGTAAATACAAGGATACAACTTTAAAACCTTATGTTGAAAAGTACCAAAAATTAAGTCTCGACCCAGCCAGAGTGGTGACAGGGATCTGACCCACGTGACCCCGACATGATCCCGACCTGATAGGGGGCTAGGCGGGGAACCCCCACTGCAACTAAAATTCCACTGCTGGTGGGCTGTGAGCAAGGGAATGGTTTGAAAGGGTAAAAAATGCTCCTCAGCCACTTTGGTCAAACTTTGGTTTATAATGCATTGCACTGGTTTTCTTTCTTCTTTTTTTTTTCATCCTCTGTTGCTGTTAAGCGTCGAGGGGAGTCCCCCCGGGGCAGTGCCACTGACTGTATGTAGTGTCTTTAGGCCATTCCCAAAGGGGGGACATTTCTCGTTCAAGCACAGTAGAATTGTAAATGGGCTGATTCATGTCACGCTTATAACTGTGCCTGATCTTCAACAGGGAACTGCTGCTTTTTCTTTCCTAATCCTTACTATCGTCATTTTTCCTCTACTTCTTTTGTATGTTTGTCACTCTTGTGACCCGCTATTTCCGGGGTGCCTTGATATTCGAAGCAGACGTTCTGCTGTTGAAACGAGAGAGGTGAGCAGAATAAGTCTGATTCCCTGTAAAGACTTCTCTGTTGACACCCGCCCCTTGACGCTCATATATGACCTTATGCAGTTGCGAGCGCCGTAAAACACTCTTCTATAAAAAAAATAATAAGTCGAGGGGAGATGCAGTTTTCTATGGTTGGCCAGCTCCGCAGCTCTTTTGGTTGTGATGTTATATTTTCTTAGGGTTTCTTTGACACCTTCGATCCACCTTTTGCATGGCCTTGGTGTTGTAGGCTCTCGAGGCTGGCTGGTCAGGTGACATACGTAACAGGTGGCCAATCCATTTAATCCTCTGTCTTTCTATGTAACGCAGGCAGACTCAGTGCCGATAGCTGGAGATGTTTGGATGAGATAAGAGGGGTGCGAGCTGGTAGGTGACAGCGTTGGCTTTTTGAGTTCGCATTTCTATTTCTCTGTCTATGGACATGTTTTCAGAAAAAGTGCTGTCAAGATATTTAAACTCCTTCACCTGTTTCAGTTTCTATTGACATAGATGTTCTGGGGACTATGGTTTCGGCTCACCTTCATAACTTCTGTTTTTGATGTGCTTATTTTCATGTTGAATTTCTCACTGGTGTTGTTGAGTTCGGTTGTGTGATTTTGGAGGCTTTGTTGGTCATGATGAATAAAACATTGGTCGTCTGCGAGCAGAAATTCATTTAGGCTTTCTGGGCTTTGGTTTGCGTCTTGCGTTATTGTGTCCGTATATAATAAACAGGAGGGGAGATAGAACGCATCCCTGTCGTACTCCAGATCTTACTTTGAACCAGTCTTTATTGCTTTCCTTCGTTCTTACTGAGCTTCTGCTGTTGGTATAGAGCTCTGACATTATCTAACATTTGTCTTCTGACGCCATACTTTTCGAGTGTCTTCCAGAGTTTTGCAGGGTTTACTCTGTCAAAAGCCTTCTCCTGGTCTATAAAGACGATATTGAATTCTTTGTTGTGTTCAATTGTTTTTTCGCATATCTGTCGTAATACGAATACGGCATCCATGCTGGTGAACTTAGTAAACATGCATGATTTATATGATGATAATGATGATTAATTGCATTATACCCATACTCTACAGCATGCTCTCTATGTGCTTTGCAAACACGTTCTAACTCGCAGGATCGGACATGTAACTAGCGAAACGCAGATAGCGAACAGATTTTCTGGTCCTGAATTTTTTTCTTCAAAACAAGCACATAGAACACAAGAGAATATATAAAGCCAAAAAACAGGCACCAGTGAGGATGTCTAATTCAGTGCTTTCCAACATGGGTGTCGTCTGCTTATTGGAGATTTGGTAATTTTGATGGGCATTAGGGATCATACAAGGAGTGGCAGATATTAGTTTATGCCCTACTTTGGAATACATGTAGGTAGGCGCTACTATGAAAACTTGGCCCCTTGAAGGTGGCAAAAGTGGCCACTGGTTATATAAATTGACAAGCAGTGGTCTAATTAATAACATAAAAATAAATTACCTAAAATTATGAAGTAACGGTGAGGAAAGAGAGAGAGAGAGCTAGCATGGTATGAGTGTAGACCTACAACCTCTCTCAATAAAATAAAAGATAAGGGCAATATAATATTGTAGGCCAAAAATTTACTTATTATGTCAGTAATTTTCAGACTTTGGATGCATGTGGTCAGGAGTCTGTGGTCACATGAAGGCACAGCTGATTGTGGTTAAGTGCATTGCCAGTTGGCTTCCATTTCAAGAGAGATTAATATGATGCAACAGCTTGCTTTTTTATGAAATCTGTGTGAACATTCTGCCGTCTGAAGAAAGTTTGCCCCCCACCAGGGCAGTGCTACTGATTGTGTGTCTTTATGCCATTCGCAAAAGGGGGGGGGGGGGGATATTTTACATGTTCTTATAAGAACAGCAGAATGGCAAATGGGCTGATTTATCAATGTCATGCTCATACTGTGCCAGAACAACATAGGGGGGACTGCTCCTTTTTCTTTCCTTGTCCTTACTGTCATCATTTTCCTCTACTTCATTTGTATTATAGTATTTAATGTTTGTCACTCTCTAGTGAACTGCTTTTTCTTGGGTGCCTTGATAGATAGTCGAAGCAGACATTGTGCTGTCGAGGCTAGAAAGGTGAGCAGTGTAAGCCTGATTCCCCGTTTGGACTTCTCTGTCAACCTCCACCCCATGTCTCTCATATGACCTTATTATGCAGTTGCGAGCGCCGTAAAACCTTACTAAAACTAAAAGATGAAAGATTAGTTTTAAGATGTGTATGGTTGATTTAATCTTGTTTTTAAGTAATGTGCAGTAAGGTTAAATTCATTTACTTTTATAAATTTATGTGATGTTTATCAATGTTTGGGGTACAAAGAATGGGTGAGGGGACCAGGAGAAAAAAGGAATTAGGTTTGTATTATTTGTATATATGTGCGTTTGTGGAAATAAGAGCGATAGAGTGTGTTTCACATGTGTGCTGATGAACTCAGAGGGAGAGAACAGTATCAAATAAATAGAAAGTAGGAGATTGAAACTGGGGAGTGAAGAAAAGAGGAGCCTTTTTGTGAGGACACAGGGATAAAAAAAGAGCAGTAAAGGGGAAGGGTCCGTTGTTAATTGCCTGTTGCGTTGGTCCTTTGCGAAGTTTGTGAAGTGCTTTTAATAATTGGGAGACAGATGTCGCCTTAAACATGTTTTACTGTTTTTCCATATTTTATATCGCGAAATACTTTCTGTCTCTAATTGGTTAGCATATATATATATATAGCATTTTCAGAAATAATGCAGAATTGTAAAGTCTTGCTGTCTGTCTTCCTCAGGGATGTATCAATCAAGTCAGCATGCAAGGCGGCGGAAGAAAAGAATTCTTCAAGGCTGCAAAACTGTTACTGTTGTTCGTGGTAAGCTTGGCTACGGTTTTACCATTTCGGGCCAAAATCCATGTATGCTGAGCTGCATTGTTCCTGGCAGTCCTGCTGAGCTTGCAGGTCTGAAGCCGGGAGATCTTCTTTACTTTGTCAATGGACAGAATGTGAGCCGTTATTCTCATGATGATGTTGTTCGCATGGTGGGCCTTTCTACTGGAGCTTTGGAACTCCAGGTGAGCAGCACATGATTTTCTTTTTTCATGTCACTTGTTCTACTACCTTGCTCTTCCTCCAACCTTCTTGAGTTGATAGTGACAATTTTTGATGCACTGTAGACTCTGTTGCTAGGGTTCAGGATATTCTTTAATGTAGTCATACAAATTTATATTGTTGTATTGTATTTGTGGGGGGGGGGGGGGGGGGAGAATAGATGTTGCTGTTCATTTTTACCTGTCACTGTCATGTTTCATTATGTTGATGTGAGTGCTTCATATACTTAGCAGTAGTCTCTGACTAAAATCAGGGTTGGGTTGATTTAAATCAGACTGATTTAAATCAGTTGATTTTTTAAAATTTAAATCAACTTGATTTTTAAAATAAAAATCAGTGATTTAAATCACTTTTAAAAAAATTATTTTTATTCAGTTTTGACATATTTCAACATTCAGAATTCCTTTCCTTGGTTTCATAAAACAGATAAAAGGTTTAGTAGACTAATATAATCATGCTTAAAAGTCTGCCCTTCCACCCTTTCACTGTAAAATAATACAGTATTCAATTTACTTTTTTTTCCCATAATTGAAATGAGAGGTGGGTTGATTTAAATCACTTGATTAAAAAAATTTTTTAATCAACTTTTAAAAATCAGTGATTTAAATCACTTTTTAAAAAAAGTATTCAGTTTTTACATGACATTTAAACATTCAGAAATCCTTTCCTTGGTTTTATTAAACAGATATATATGGTTTAGTAGACTAATATAATCATGCTTAAAAGTCTGCTTTCCCCCCTGTCATTGTAAAATTTATTGTAATACAGTTCTCAATTTACTTTTTTAAAAATAATTGAAAACCAGGGTTGGGTTGATTTAAATCAGGTCGATTTAAATCAGTTGATTAAAAATTTTTTTTAATCAACTTGATTTTAAAAATAAAACTCAGTGATTTAAATCACTTTAAAAAATGTATTCTGTTTTTACATCTTTAAACATTCAGAATTCCTTTCCTTGGTTTTATAAAACAGATATAAGGTTTAGTAGACTAAAATAATCATGCTTAAAAGTCTGCTTTCCCCCCTGTCACTGTAAGTAGTAAAATAATACAGTATTCAATGTACTTTTTTTTTCATAATTGAAATTAGCATTTTCTTTTTCTTTTTAGACAAACACAAGCGCGCGCACACACACACACACTGTAATAAAATGCAAGTTTATCTATGCATAATTACCCCCCCTCCCCCACCCCCCCCTTCCTTTTAGACTGACATTTTCTTCCTTATAAATTGTCTGTAGCCATAATTCACTTATATAGCAGATTAAGGCTTTCTAAAATTGTAGTTGCTTAAAATTAATAATAAGTTAAAATAAAGACAATGCATTTTGCACTAAAAGAACATACTTTTAGCCACCAAAAATCCCAAACTGTGTCGACATTAAAAAAAAAAAAAAAAAAAAAATCCGATTTAAATAAAAAAAATCTTGATTTAAATTTAAAAAATCGATTTTTTACATTTTTATTTAAAAACTCAAAAAAATCACCAACCGTGACTGAAATACTAGTGTTTGAGATAAACAGAAAAGTCAGATGTTAGCTTAGTGACTCCTGTTATCACAATGTGTGTGATTTACTTTGTGATGTCTGACTTCCGTCATCGCCCTATTTGTGATTTATTGAACTTTGGAATAGGCAGGGCAACTGTTGTTACCATGGATTCAGAAATTGAAACTGTTGCGTCAGTGCTTCTCTGTAAATTCAGATCAGAACTTTCCTGCATTAAAAAGTATCAGAGTTGTTATAATCTTTTCAAATTGTTAACCTGAACTTTATTGGTCTAAATACCATTTTTGTGACATTTTTGGTTTGATGGAGGTAGAAAGAAAAAAAGGCTCAGCAGCAATATTTTGTAAATATATGGTCATGACTTATTCAGTGACAGGGAATTTGTCTCGCTTTCTGAAAAAATCCATCTAGATGTGAAACAGGTGGCACATCTTTGTCAAAATGAACTATTAAATACTTAGATCAGTGAATAAAACCGGCAAACCGGTGGCTCTAAATTAATGTAGTAACACTTTTAAGACCCACTATATAATAAGTCTAGTGTTCCCCTGTCACTTGCTATTTCATTTCATCTGATTCTGAGACAAGTGAGGATGAACTCAGATTAATAAAAGATTTTTTTTCCCAGATATTCTCTGATCATGCCTATGTTTGACTATAATTTGTATTCTTATACATTAATGTTGAGTTATACATGAGATAATGTCTGAAAAAATTGGGGCAAAGTATAGTTCATATAGCCTATAGTTGAAATTACAGTCGAACCTGCTCTTAACCACCCTTGTCCAAGACTATCACCTTGACAAAGACTACTTTTTGGGTTTTTTGGGGGGAGGTGTTAAATTTAAATTTATGACATTGTCGAAGAGCACTGCTTATTTAAGGTGATCACTTTCCTTTTCGACATGTGCCTTGTCATGCGCATGGTTGTTTTAGTGGGGGTGTTGTTATGGTTTTATAAAACATATTTTTATACTTTTCTTCATTTTTTTATGTTGATTTTTCCCTTACACAGGTGGCTGAAAATTGTAACAACTCTGATTCATCTGATGATGACTATCCTCCAAGGAGCAAGTCTCGGTATCCCAATCGAGTCAGGCCTCGGCAAAATTTTGTTGACAAAGGATCAAAATATGACTCAAGTAGAGGAGTTTCCAGGCAACAAGAGAGGAAAGACTCTGGTGGCATACATCACCATACATCAGGAGACATTGACTCTGACTTGTCATCTAGTCTGACCTCGCAAGAAGAACCCCCTTGGCCTCAGAGGACTGATATGGACTGGCGTGGTATAAGTCAAGAGAGACTACAGCCTAGGGGCATGGCAGACCCAAGTGACAGACAGAATAGTGGCTTTGCCTATCCTGCCATGCATAGCTCAGCAATAAGAAAAGTTTCGTCAGCTTCTGCAATTGTAAAGAAAGTTCCGCCATTAAAGAGCTCTGGTAAAAGTGCCCCTTTGGGCCATTCCCAATATGGTCGGAGAGAAGTTAGACCACAAGCGGTATCTAAATCAAGTATCAAAGCCTTGCCTCAGCAGCAGGTGGCATCAAAGCGAGAACAGTCACCTGTTGTTGTTCACGAGGATGAAATGGAGGAAGATGAGGATCTCCCACAAGTGGCTGAGACTGTTAAGGCTGTTGTTGGATACATTGGCTCCATAGAAACGCCAAGTTCACACACTAGACCTCACCAGCGGCTTCAGGCTCTGAGAAATGCTGTGCGGCGGTTGCGGGTTGAACAGAGGGTCCACACCCTTGTGCTGATGGATGTGAATCCAGAGGGAGTTGTCCTAACAAATGCAGTGGGCAAACAGCTGGCTTTATACCCATGTGAAAGGATTGCGTTTAGTGGGATCTGTCCTGATGACAAGCGGTTCTTCGGTTTGGTCACTCTGAGCTGTTCAGAAGATGATGCCAGCAGTTTTGCTGGGGAAGGAGAAAGTGCAAGATTGCCCAACTCATCTTGTCATATCTTTATGATTGAGCCTGAACTTAGCTCGCACAGTGCTCATGTACACCATGCTGAAATGTTTCAAGTAAGATCAGTTTGTTGTTATTACACTTTTGTCTTTGTCTAATGTTGTTGAAACTCAGAGAAAGAGACAGGGTAATTAATGCTTCGTAGACAATTAAGTATTATTTATTGAAGATATGAAAGTCTATGTTTGTTTTAAGGACCTAAAGTACAGATGTATATTTATGGAAACAGTGGTGTTTGATCTGACGCTCTCAATGGACAACAATATTTTCGCTCTTTTGATAGGTTTATCAGTATATAGCTGTCCTCCAGTTTGTGTTCTTGGTATTTAAAAATGTTTTTCTAAAGTCCGAAGAATAAATGGTGTGAATGAATAGGTTTGAAGGAATCCATTCATGTCAAATTTGAATTTTAAAGAAAGGTTACTTACCTTTACTTTACTGGAGAAAATATTAACATTTTAATATCATTTTTCTTAAAGTATTGAAACCCTTCCATGATAAAGAATGAAGAATGCTAGTGGAATTTCTGCGGTAGTGGAATTTCGTTTCTTCTTTAAGTTGCACTTCGTTGAATATTGTGGAGATTTGGAATGTGTCTATATAGAATGTTGTATGGTTTTCTTTATAAGAAAAAACTAATGTTGAATCTACAATTTTCCAGATTGAATGCACCACCAATCCACAGACAAGACGTTGTGATGAATTTCCTTCTTCAGCAACATCCCTCATTTTGTGCATAGCCAATCTTTATCGTGATGCGCCACCTAAGAAGTTTGACAATGATATAGTTCAGTCTCAAGTCTTGGCTGACCCAGCACAAGTGGTAGAAAATAACAGCAATAGTAGCACCAACGGAAACAACAGTAACAGCGACAGTGGACTCGGATTTGGAAAAGAGGAGGCGCCGTTAGAACAAAATGAACAGGTAAAGGAATAGCAATATCTCCCTTTTATTAATGCTGTTCATTAGTTAAAATTCAGCCACGTACTTCCATAGTACAGTTGGTTTACTTGACCAACATGTAAGGTAACATTTGCATCTTTCATGGTGTCTGAATTTTGTTGTCCTTCCAAGAAGATTTTCTATAATCCCAGCATTCTGTAAGGGGACCAGTCTCTCTGCCTTTGAAATGAAATGACTGTCTTGTAGGGGACGTAACAGTGAAAGTGAATCCTACAAAAAGCATACTTGACATTATATCAGCTACCCCAAACCATCCTCACTCTCCCAGCATGTAATGAAGAAAAACAGTCAGACCCTGACTGCCTACACTACATCACTTCGTCCATGCAGCAGTCCAAATTTAACACCTTCTGTACACAGACACTTTTTAGTTGGCCAGTGTCACTTTGCTCTTAGAAAAACATAAGTTGTGCCAAAGCCTGGAGTAAGGAAAAACATTAGATTGTCAGGGTGTTAAAAATGCCTGCGCTTTTCATTGTGGGTGACAGCCAATTCCAATGGGAAAATAAAGAAAAATGAATCATTGTTTGAAACAGACTGCTATGGTGTTCGTCATTGTGTGAAGTGATACACAATCAGGATCAAAGGCTTGTGACGTGTCCGGCCAGTTTCTTTTATTTTTGCAAGAATTGAGCAGACAGCCTATAACTATGTGTCTCTGAGCTAGATATGGTTGCCCCAGCTCTAGAATATGATGCTGCACTGTGGTATATGTGTATGATTGTTTGTGTAGTGTGATATTATGAGAAGTTGATGAATTATTATATCGTCAGTGCCGTGAGGAATCCACTTAAAAGTCTGTTTGGGTACTTTTTACACAAGAGACAAAAACTTAGTTTTTGTTGCTTTGTGATTGTGCCTATCTGGAACATGAAAAGCAAGAACATTGTAAGCCTTGACCATAGCATTAAACTGCATTTTGGTGATGTTGAAAGGGGCATCTTTGATAAATCTTTGGGAGGATGTAAAAATCGAAACTTCTCCAAATTTGAACTGGAGTGGGTTGCTTGGGACAGCGATAAATACGTTTGCTTCATGTGTTAACCGTTTGAGCCCTTGCCACTGGTACACCGGTGGCGTGTAAAACTGTCTGTGTGCCACCGGTGCATTGATGAGCGAGACCCCATCCTCAACCTGGCCTGCCTGAGACAAGACAAAATGCGTATGGAAAACCCTGTTCACTACAAGATGTTATTGGTTTTTTAAAAGATTTTTCTGAATTAGATGCTGGTTTTGACAAGGACTACCCTGAGTGGAATGTGATTCTGACGACCAAATGAATGTTAGTAATATATCACTCGGGAGCTCAGGCAGAGGGGCACGATAGCCTCAGGAGATCAGGGCTCAAAGTGTTAATGTATACATGCCATTGTAACCCAAATTTCCCTTGAAGGAACCAATAAATGTGGAATTTTGTATAACGTTATAACAAAATTTCTGTTCAGGTCTGTGTGATAGATCTCCCAAACACAGAAAAAGACAACAGCAGTTGCTCATCAATGACCATGGACACCAGTGGGTTGTCATTTCAGCAGCAACTTTCGCCTGAGTCAAGAATGTCAGGAACTCCAAGGCCCCCACACTCTACCCAGCGACCTGTGTCAGCCTTCGATGTGAGAAGAGGTGAGATTGCAATCTGTGTAGATTGGATTAGACCTTACTGTTCTTTGCTTCTGTCAAAAGCGTTTGCTTCTCTCTTGTTGTTATGTTACGAGGTATGTCTCATAGGTTTTGAATAAGTTTCCTCTCTCTACGTATACTTCTTTCACTTTTTTCTATAAAGATCAACAGGTTAAAGGTGGATTTCTCAACTGTTTAGTTTGAAGTTGAGTCTCTTTTCTCTTTCCTTGTGGTTCCATTAAATACTGAGAAGACCAAAGGCTGTCTTGGTAGAAGGCTAGCCATTTTGTGATTGGCATTTTCTGCTTCTTTACTTCTTTTTCTGTAAATCTCCTTTCTTTTTCTACAGCATCACTTCAGCATGTAAATGATCTAGAAATGCTGACAGTACTTGTAGAAAGTAAGCTCAGGCTCAAAGTCATAGTTTTCTGTTTTTCTGATACTTTTCTAAAGGTCTCAACAACTCAACAAGTAGTGAAGAATGGCAGAGCACAAGGTCCATGAACAGGCTGACTCCTCGTGCCATGCCAGATCCTTCCTGCTCAGGAGCAACACCACCTCACCCCGATTCTCCCATTGGCCCGAACAGCGCAGAAAGTTTACGGCAGAGCATGCAGCGTCTGCTACAAGCCAGACACCAGCAGCTGCACGAGCAGAACCGTATGCTGGGCAGTGATGGGGAATCCCATGCCGGAGACCCTGTCTTGTCTCTGTCTGTGGCTGAAGATGGTCACGCTGTCTTAGAGACCAATCCTGTGGGCAAGATCCAGCAGCCTCTCAAGGATGGTGTGTTTACTGTTCCAACAAATCCACCTCCCCATTCGTCTCATTATGGAAGTTCAGCTTCGGGTCGCTCAGCGTTTCAGGTGCCCCGCCCTGTATCTGCTCCGTTGGGAAAACACAGAGGAGGGCAAGGCCATCCTGAGACGGTGGATATGGATGCGATGGAAAAGCTCAGTCCCAGAGCCTTCCCTCACACATCTCCACCTGCTTCTGTGTTCCGCTCTCCATCTGCCCCACCAGCCCCTTTCTTTCCTCATTGTGACACTGATGATGATGATGATGACGATGATGATGAGAGTGAAGATGATCCGTACATCCGTCAGATTCTTGATGAGTTCAGCAGGGATCGACAGGCTGCTGCAGAGGAGGACAGTCGCAGGTTTTCAGAGGGATTTGCCTTATCAAAGCGGGTGAGTTAACCTTTTTATAATTCAACAAAGTTAGAGGACTGAAAGATTTGATGTAATCAGCTAGAAAGTTTGAAAACTGGATCTGCTGATCTTTGTTATGAAATGGAGACGTACTGACAAATTTTTGAAATGCTGTTCATTCAATAAATGTTTGTTTTGTCTGATGTGGCATCATTTTTAGTGCCAAGTTTCTATCGTATGAGACAGGAAAGTTCATAAAGCATATGAATCACGCTGCTGCTTCTTGGTTTAGAGTGAGGTAAAAAAGTCAACAGTCATTGCTGTATGAAGAGGTCATTAGTAGGCTATAAAGATAGTATTTTGACTAGCTACAATTGATTGACTAAAACAAGATGAAGCAAGACGTACGTTTCATGAATAGTAGTTCCTGTCTACAGTCCTTTCTATACAGTGCTTATATTGCGTGCTATCCACTCATGAGTTCACCGACTGGCCCGTTATGCCAATATAAGGCATTATAAGGTTACCTACTCAGATAATATAGTGTTTCGTTTTGTAAAAAATATATTGCACTTGCTAAAATGTACATGACTAAGTCTCAAAAGTTGGTTGTTTAAATAGTTCATATTTTCATCTCATCATCAAAGGAGGGAATATGCAACTATGATGTGCAAATTTCTGTGTGTCATCAAGTACATTCCTTGTTCCAATTGCTCAATTTAGTGAAATTACAAAATTATGTGGAAAACACAAAGAAATGTAAACGGTGAAAACGTAACATTATATATATGGTAACGTAAATGAAGTGAAACTTTATGTAGGAAAGTAGGAAAGGAAAATGCTAAACATCTCATGTTGTTCTATGGTAAAAGGTTGAGTGTTTGAGAAGAGAGCTAATTTTGGTGATAAACTGCCGGGGAGAAAGCCCCAGACTGGGTGACAACTCTGATGAATGGACATGATGTTTCTCGTCATTTTCTAGTTCTATTTTTAGCCTACATAATGATGGGGAAAAAAATACTTTTTAAAAGACGGATAAAATGGGCATTACTCCAAGTCGAAAGGGGTTTATTTAACACACTTGTTGAGTTGTTTTGAGTCTATATGGGGATGTTATAAGCAAAAGAACTTCCTCATCACAATTTCTGTCTTTTCATCATGTCCGTTCATGAGCCTGTATTTTGTTTCTCAGCTTTGCTACCACACTTTTTAATGAACTCTCTAGTTCCGTATTAACTTCCCCGAAGAGACTGAGCACGCATTGCTGCTGCTGATGGAGGACCATGAAGGAGATAAGAGGCACTAAAGTTTTCTGTCATCACTTTCCTTAGCATCATATCTGTTTTAGATCTATTCAATTGTCATGTCCAGTGGCTAAACAAGCCGCGGTCGCGTTAAATCTAATAAGGCGGGTTCTTTTTTCTTCCGCCTTTCTGTTGAAGAACCTGTTGCATATTAGTGCTTGATGCTTCATCCATAAGTAAGAGAATAGGCCACATATACGGACATGAGCAATGACGAAAAAAATCCATGTCATCATCATGTCCATTACATTCTCATCAGCTTTCTTTTGGTTAAATATTGCAAAATTCATTACTGCTTAGAAGATAAAGATACATGAGGCAAATTTGAATGAATTTTAAGCCCTCAAAGGAGCAAAAAAGGCATGAATTGAAACAAAAGGGATGGAAATGATCAATGACAAAAATACTAATGTCATCATCATGTCCACATCGCTATATTTCTTTATCAGATTTTTTATGCTAATCATATTTATATTAAAACTGTAAAGTATACTTGTAAAACCTCTTTTGGAGTCTCAGTGTGCTTCATAAAATGCGCAGAGACTGAAGGGACAAATGGACATAATGCCTGACATGTTTCTCCTTGTCATCACTTCATGTGTCATGTCCATTGCATTTTTGCAAGCTCCCCAACCTATGGCATCTTTTTTGTTTGCTCAATTATGTCTCTGAATAAGACAATCAAATGACTTCATATGGGTTATTAAGAGTTCTTCAGACTTTATAAGTCTCCAATAAGAGAGAAATTGACATATATATCAGAATCAGACATTACGGACATGGCTTATGACAGTAATACAAGTGGAAATCTGACTAAATTTTGGTACAGCTGGTCTATTTTGTTGTTGTTTACCTTGATTGACACATTTCTATTATCAAAATTCGTCATTTAATAATTTTGTCACACCTTTGGGGACCAACTTTTGAGACTTACTCATATGGTTACTTAATGATAATAGAACAGAGTAAATTCTGCACACTTCATGGTACATGTAATACCGCCAGCTGATTTGCTGAAAAGCTGTGTTGATTTTTTTTTTTACAGTTTGTTCCATTGAAATCTTCCTTTAAAACGTCGTTGCACTGTCCCAGTAATAACTGATCGTTTCGGCAAAACATAATCAAAACATAATTTTTGCATTCTTCGCCCCAACAATAAATGTAAAGAAAGGGAATAAATTCGGCTGTAGGAATCTTGGAGTGACTATTAATATAGTTACTCCAAGATAAGAATGTGCGAGTTTTTCCCATGGCTCCGGTTACGTCCCTTCGTTCATGTATACCGGGATCGAGAGAGAGAGAGAGAGAGAGAGAGATGGGGGGGGGGGGGCAGACTGTGTACCTTTGTCATGCCGCATACCGATGAACCTGTTTTCTTTGTGACTACTTGAAAATAGACCTTTGTAATTTATGGCCACTGTTTTTACGGTCAATGGCTCTCGTGGGTTTCACTGATCGTTCGGTGCCAATGGTACCCGCCTACGCGTTGAACAAGCGAAAGTGGTCTTTTCTTCGAGTTCTAACCGACGCTTTGAACGTTAACCCCTCCATGAGAGATAGTATGCATTTGTGTCCCCACCCTGTCCCGTTTCGGCCATTTGAGCACGTGTTTAAGTGACTGAGACTGGCAACATCAAAGCCTAAATGACTGCCCGTGAGAGATATAGGTCTGATCATTTGGCTGCTTTTTATGTTGTCAAACGAAGGTTTAAAACCATTCCAAGATTCTAGGTCTGCCTGTGGGAATCACCCGTGGATCGCTAGATCGTTGAACCTCTGAAAGTTCTTCCTGAACACCCGCTTTAGCTCTACCTTGTTCTCCAAAGGGATGAAGGGGTAGCGTTTTCTGTACAGACAGACAATAGTCGTTTCTGCAGTGAGAAAAGGGACAAGAAGAAACATTTAGAGTTTTTTTATGGGGGGGGGGGATGCGGACAAGAGAGTTATTATGAGTTTCATTGTCAGTACGCCATGTTTTGGGTACAATACGATCTTAATTGATATCCGTCTGGATTAATGGGAAGATATTTCTGACTCGAGGTCTTAGACTGGTTTGTGTGGAGTTTTTATTGCTCCGCTCTTCGTGGATCGGTTCTGTCTGAGATGGGCGTTTAACTCTTTTTGTACAATGTACGACGTTTCATTCCACCAAGTCAAAGCTAACGAAACTCTTGGTGTCGATGTCCATGGCAAAGGTACCGAAAATTTTAAGCACATGTCTCGCTTCTCAAACAACCGTTTACTGAACTCGTAAGAATTTACAACCGACGAGGGTATGTGAATGTGAGTACGAGCCATCAATATCATGTCCATTGGTTCTCTTTGTACTTATTAATTTAGTGAGTCAAACTCCATCAGAGTGTGTACCTTATTTTCATTTACAGATATGGTAAAGGAATTGGGAAATTCGGGTCGGTCTTGGGATGTTTGTCGTTCCTGTCTCTAAGTCGAGCAGGGGCATGCTCTGGGCTGGGTCATTGTGGGCTGTTTAAGTGATCGGCGCGTGTCACGGTTGACCAGCGCCACAGCTTGTTCGGCTTCTGACCCATTCAGGCCATTGACTTAAACAATAGCCGCCACTCGTGCACTAATCCCCCCGCCTCAGGGCCCTCCACAAACCTCGTTTTTTTGTTACTGTCCCTTTTCTTAAACCGTAAGGAAACTATGGGGTTTATTGAAACAGGTGATGTTGTGTTGTTGCAGTTTCCCAGAGAGGGGACTTGTTGAAGTGAGAAATGCGAACGACTTTGTGGCCCAAGTGGAAATAGTAGTGTTTGTCCCCAATCTCGATTGTGTCTCTTTCTCCTAAGCTCTTGAGCGTGTGTATTTGTTCTGGATGGCGTTGGGGAGATTGGTGGGGGAAAGGCAAACCTGCCCAGGTTTTCTGTGTGTCGCTGTCTCTCTGTCTCTCTCACTTTTTCTTTGCCCCTCCCCCCATCCCGCCTCTGTCTGTCTGTCTGTCTGTCTGTCTGTCTGTCTGTCTGTCTGTCTGTCTGTCT